TGTTTATCAACTATGCTCATGGCCATGGCTAAAATAATCCATGTAAAGAGATTAGAATTACATCTTCTCATACTTTAAGATAGCAATATGACACATACAAACACACAGTAATCACAATACAATTATAAGATAGGAAAGAACTACTAACTCGTTTGATAATATGGCAAATTAATAACACAACCCTTAAAGCAAATAGCACTCATCTGTCGACTTCAAGAGCCGTAACTTTCTCATTATAGAGGAATTTACATTTTATAAGCTCATATAATTACATATCTATATATTTATATGCACCTCGGCTAATAAAAAATTATAAGTTCAAATTACAAAAGCATAAATTGATGACCAACTATACAGATCACTTTTTGGTTCGACCTTCTCAATTCCCTAGAGGCACCACACTCTTGTCCTTCAAACCACTTGTTTTTGTTGTGTGTCATAAAAAAAAAAAGGGGGTCAGATTCTAAGAATTCCAAAAAATAGCCCTTAATTTTATAAATTAATACTTAACTCATTTTGAGGATTTTTGCTTCAATTAGCTTCTCTACCTCATATAATAATTATCCTAAAATTTTTAGCTCAAATAGAAACTAGTTTCTTTTAACTCCTGAAATTGACTTTCAAATTATTTAAACCACTTTTTAAGAAAGAAAACTTTTTCATAAATTTTCCAAGTCCCCTCTTAATTTCTGGTTGCAGGTATGGGAAAGGAGCAAATAACCATATTGATGGGCATGGGCAGTAAATAAAATTACTTTTTTTTTTTACCAGAGAGTAAATAAAATTACTTTGATCACTTATGGCCACATAAATTTCATAATATACTCCTCTGGTCCTATTTATATGACAGAGAGAGAAGATTTTCTTCTATCCTATTTATAGGGTATTGAGAAAAATTTTTTGTATGAATATACAATTTTACCCCTCATTTATTATTATGTTGACTTTATTTACGTGAGGTATAATATATATTAAATAGAGATAAAGTTATAAAGTTATTAAATTTTAAATGAGAGTTAATGAGGTTTAAGATTTTTCTTGATCTGTACAAAATATGCTAGAAGTGCCTTATAAATAATATTAGTATTTTGGAAGAATCCGAGGGACAATTAATTATGGTCCACAATTTAAGAAGCTAAAAATAAATAAATATCAGGCGCACGCGGGTTCAAGCACATCGTACGGAGGCTCATCCCCAGTCCCCACCGATAAAGGATGGAACTAATAAATGCATTCTTAAATTATGATCAATAATGATCTTCAAAACAAATCGTCCACCTTTCAACAAACCATACTTAAACCCTCTTTATTATTATTATTATTATTATTATTATTATAAGATACCTATAATCATTTCATCAAAATTAATTAAGTTAATAACTTTAGCCGAAATAAAAAATTAAACTTACTCATATTTAACCTCGTGAATTACTCCCAACTAGAGAATTTTTTAGTTTTATTTATAAATCACATTATTAACCTTTTAATATAAACATATTATTTTATTTTTTATGAAAAAATTTTTACCCACCTTTCATGTGGATTGCTATTTTGTTGGGAAGTATACATATGAAAAGGCAACACCTTAAAATATTTTGTTAGATACATACTGTATTTTAAAATATTTTGTAGTGCGTCTAATATTTTGAATATTTTTTCAAATGTATCCAAAAACTCTCTAGAGTGTCATGTAGTTTATTCAACACCCAGGTGTGTTTGCCCTACAAATTATGAAAAAATATTTTATAGTACTTGATATATATATATATATATATATTAATTTAAGAGGCCTTTTGAGAAGTTAGCGATAAAACTAAAATTGCTCATGAATTAATACCTAAAAAGTACAATAGCTCCTTAAAAAAGTAATACTTTAAAAGCAAAATTATACTACAAAATATTTTAAGATGCTGGATATATCTAAAAAAATACTTCAATTTGCTAGATCTATCTCAAGATATTTTAAAATGTTAGACGCACCCAATAAAATATTTCAGGGTGTTGGACACACCTTAACCCTATACTATCTCCAGTACCATTTATAAGATTTGAAAATTTAAATTGGTTTCATCCTTTATATAAGATCCTACCAATGATTATTTGAATATTAAATACATTTTTACTAATTTTGTCTTTAATTAATTTTCGGGATAATTAATCCACAGCTCCTTATAGTTTCAACCAATTTTGAATTAGGTCCTTATAGTTTTTTTCTTTTTATCAGGTCCTTATACTTTCACTTGTTTTTAATTAGGTCCTTGTATTTATTTTTCTTTTTATCAAGTCCTTATAAGTTCACCTTATTTTTAATTAAGTCCCTGAATTTTTTATTCTTTATTTTATAAATTCTAATAGTACTATTCTATAAACATAAAATAATATATATTATTTAATATTAGTTTATAAACAATAATATTCTAAAACTATTGAATTATTATAATGATTTTATTTTTTTCAGCAAAAAAAATTTAATTGTTCTAAAAAAATTTCCTGAATTAATTAATTCTATTAATTTTTATTATGTTAATATTTTATATTTCAGTATTAATCTATTTCATTAAAATTATATTTAATTAATAAATACAAATTAAAACTACATGGACCTGATTAAAAATTTAGTGAAATTATAAGGAGTTAATTAAAAGAAAAATAAATACAATGACCTAATTAAAAACAGGTAAAAGTATAAGGACCTGATAAAAAGAAAAAAAAAACTATAGGGACCTAATTCAAAATTGAGTGAAACTATAAGGATTTGCAGATTAATTAACCCTTAATTTTCTATTATCTCTTCTTATCTTTTTCTTATATTTCATTCTCTTTTACCCTTTATTTCATTAAGTAATATTTTTCTCTCTTATTTGCTTTCTCATTAAATAAGGACATACTTTGAAAAAAAAAAAAAGAGATTTAAGTTTTACATATTTATTGCTTTTAACAAATTTTAAATATTTTCTTAAATCGCGTAATTTAGTTAATAGGATCTTATAAAAAAAGATCGGATGAAGTATTAAATAAAAGTAAAGTTGAGAATTCTTTAATACAGAGTTAATAGGCTTTAATGTTTTTTTTTATTCTCATAAAAAATTATTAAAAGTGACTTATATATAAAATAAAATAAAATAAAAAAGGGACATTCGATGAGTCATAGTAGAGATTACAATTAATGAGATAATAAATAGGTAATCATGACAAATATGTAATTAGCATCCTGCTAGGTACAGGAGGAACCGAATAAAAGCAATAGATTAAGACTTTGAAATTTGAAGAATTAAATTATTTATGGACAGCATGGTCAAATAATTAAAAGATTGTTTTCAAACTGATATCTAAACAACCAACCATGAGGGAATAATACATAATGAATTTAAGTAAGCATGTCATCATCACAAAGAAGACTCATAGTATTGGAAGATCAAGTTAGAGAGAGGAAAAGTCAAAAAAGAGGCCGAAAAGTTGTGTTTGCACATGTATTATTGCATACTGGTACCTCTCCAATCACTCCAACTAGTTCCCTGGCATTCTTTATTACATTAAACTCTTTTTTTTTTTCCTTTTACAAATAACCTAATATTATTCAATGCTCCATCGGAATTCAAGTTAGATAACAGGATGATTTAACTCAGGCTAAATAGGAAAATTTTGTTAGGAGAATTTCAATTAAACGCGTTAGGTATGTATTTTTCAAAAAAAAAAAAAAGCTTATTGTAATACGTTGTTTCGAATGGTTTATAAAAAAAGCTTAAAAAAATAAATTTGTTTCAACAAAAATTCATTATTAGCCTTTTTTTTTGCTAACAACTTAAATGTTGAATTTAACTAAAATTAATTTTTATAAGCACAAGTATATTCTTATTAAAGGTAATTATATTTAAATATTGTCAAGTACTGAATGTGGTATGACTCATAACATGAATTATAATTTTAGTTCGTCATATTACGAGTAAATAGCTTCTTTCGCTAAACACAATCCTTATTGGTAAATTAATCTTTTCCTTTCATTTTAAACAGATTGGTTTTTTGCCTTTCTATTTTTTTTTTTTTTGCACAGACAAAGCTTAGTGAGACTCCATTTAGAGGCATGAAATTAGCCCTCGATCACTAACCTAAACCCACCCATGAATTTAGATCAAGCAAAAGATATCAATTCTTTAAAATAATAATTAGGTCAATGCATTATTGTTCATGTATCTGGGGTACTAGCGGACTCGCGAAAAGGATATGTAGAATCTTATCAAAGATTTGAATCCTTTTTTCACCTCAACAAAAAGAAACACTGTATATGCTGCTTTTCCAGCAATGTATCAACGACTTTGTTTGATAGCATATGAAATGATGAGAGGAAGTTACAGTAAAAAAGAGAAAAGGACAAATGGAGTTTAATTTATAAATGGAGTTAATAGCTAAGAAAAAAATAATCATGCATTGGATTTGTAAAACAATAATGATAACTTGGAAACAAACTAGAATACGTCAAAAAATAACATATATGAAACTAGGCGATCAATCCCAAATGTAAGGATTTAATGTATACCTCATAATTCCGTGCATGTTCATGTAAACATCTTATTGATAAATAATTTCCACTTTCACAACCATTCTTTCAGCTTGTAAGGTATATTTTGACCCCATGAGCCTTTTCTTTTTGGGATCAAACATCCTGATAAATTTAATATCTATTTTTTAAATTACTCCTACAAATATTCAAATTAAATACTCTTTTAATTTAAAAAATAAGTCTTACAATTAAAATCAAACGAGTAATAATCTATAACAAATAACAATGAGTACTATAAAGGATCTTTTCCCATAGTTCTATTTGGTCTTTATATATAGAACTATTTAAGCGAGGAAACATGACATGATTTTAAAACATATCAAGATTATTGTTAACTATTTTAAGAATATCTTCCTTATTCCGCAAGATATAGTTTTAAAAAATCATACATGTCTAGGATCAGAAAAAAGTAACACGTATTAAGAAAATCCAAGCACAAAGCTAACAAATAATACTACATAGGTAAGACACTAAGAATAGATTAGGTCATTACATAAATATTACTCAAATCCTCCATAAGAGGAATAAATACACCGACCAAATATGCAATAGCCATAGAAATAGAGTACCTTGCGTCCCGTCCATCTTCATCTCCCAGCTTTAAAAGCAAAATGGACAAACCTAAGGCATCAAAAAATTCCCCCCAGTACCCAATACTGAATATGACAAACCATCTTCTTCTTCATCATCATCATCTCTCTCTCTCTCTAACCTGTACAAATCGCAAATATTAATTGCCTAATCACCTAAATTAACCTAAACACCTAACACTTTTCCAACTAATATATCTAATCCTTCTCCTTCTTTTTTCCTTGCATTCCCATCTTTACCCTTGTGCAAATTCCCTTAATTACCCATGTCTACTGCTTCATTCGTCAGTATTATATTCCCCTTCTTTCAAGCCACGCTGATTATGCTATCTCCACCGCCGCTGAAGTTGCCAGACATAGCCTGAAAATCTGTTGACGGCGACGATTGGCTGCTTGCCGGTGACTGCTCATTTGATGTTGACGGCGACGTTGGCAGCTTCAGAGATAATGGTAGGGGGTCTATTGGAGCTTTCTCTTTCAAATTTAGAGTGGCCATTTTCGATGATGGAGGGACTGGTATCGGCCTAATAGGTTTTGCTGGTCTCTCTCCCGCCATCACCTTCGTCGGAAAAGTTGAACTGGGAAAGCCTCCGTAATATAACTGTGGATGTGTGGGCGGGATCGCCGCTTCTTGGTGAACTTGTTCTTCTTCCATTAAAGAGGATTCCATCACCTTAACATTCAAATCAAGTGAAATCAAGTTAGATCCCCACACAGCTAACCCGATAACGATTGAAATGAATAGAATTAATTAATAATCAATACCGTATCGGTGGTGATGTCAAAGAGACTAGATCTGCGGCGTCTCCGATTCTGGTTGTGGCGACGAAGGAAGTACTTCTGAGCATGACTAGCCACCTGAGTCGGCGTCCGAGTTTTGACGAAGTTCTTAGAAATCCCTCTCCAATCTCCTTTTCCGACTTTCTGTAATCCCAATAGGAATAACCTATGCTCTTCCTCCGTCCAGGGAACACCTTCAAAAATCAATCAAATCCAAGCACAGAATACTCAATCTCCAAATCCAAACAAACCTTTCGTTTTCAACTCTAACCACCACAAAAAAAAAAGCTCGCGATTATATTACCTCTCTTACGCTCACGAGTCCGTCCAGAGGCGTGAACGACGTCATCGGAAGCGTAACCAGCATCGACGGCGTTGGAATCCTGAGGCTGAGCCTCAAACTGCGACAGATTCGTCATACTAGCGCTCTTCCTGAACGAGTTCCCTTGAGTAAGTCGCACGCCAAACAGCATAATCCCGTTCTCCTTCGACGAATCGCCGCCGCCGCTGCCGCCGTGGATGCATGTTCGCGAGTTATGGCCGTTGTTGCCACACTGCGAGCAAGAGCGAGACATAGTGGAAAAGGAATCGTACGATAAAGGAGAGCCTCTCACAGTTTCGTCTGTGTTATTCTCATTCCACACAGAGAGAAAGAAGAAACGCGCACAGAGAAAAGAGAGAGAGGGATTTCTGGTAGTAAAAGGAGAGAGGAAGGCCAGTTTGAGTCATATATAGAGTTGCGTGATGATTGGTGCCACAAGGAGGGAGATACGAAGGGGAAAGATTCAGTGTATCACGCCGTTCATCATTTATTATACAACAACCGATAATTCCGATCTGATCAACTATTATTCCTATTTCTTTGTGGCAAAGTCAATGAGAACCGTCCAGTATTTCCTCAATATTTTCTTCCTTTTTTTTTTGGGCAAAACATTTTCTTCCTTGGTCTGCACGCCAACGACGTATTATAAATATTACATACACTAATTTTAATTAATGTCCGATAATATTTATGGAAACAAAAATGGTGATAATATTTTAGGCATGCCATGTTTTAAAATAATGCCATATGTTCCTAGTTACGTGTGTTGATAAATGATTTGAGGCGTAACACATGATTTTTAAATGAAGTCCGTACATTTTAATATAATTTCTTTTGTTACTGATTTTATATCAACTTATAATCTTGTAAGCAATATCTATATTAATATAAACTGTTACTAATTTTCTAATTATATGATATTTAATACTGTTAATAGATAGATTTAAATATTTTGTAGGTTCGAACAGGGATTGCTCTCTTTTTCCGCCCTTTTTATAAGGTTGGAACAATTAATTTTTAAAAGGGTTTTTTGTGCCTAAAGTATTCAAATAGGGTTTAAGTGCGAAACGAAGATTTATTTTTTTTAAAGAAACTATTAAATGTTATATCCCTTGTACATTGTATTGAAACTGAAATTTAAAGATATACTTTCCCTATCCTTAATGTAAGACCTAATTAATTAGTTTAAACGAATTAAAGATATTAGTTAATATGATATGTTTTTCCTAAAACACCTTAATTATCTTTCTTAGTTTCCTTCATCCTTTCCTATTTGATTATTATTGAGAGAATATCAATAGGATTAATTTAAAAAAAAATTTATAAACAGATAAAATAGGTATTACATATATGACCAATATCAACTCCCAAATTAGATTATACATTAAGGACCAGAAAAGTATATAGTTATATACTCAATTCAGGGTTGGCCCAAAACAAAAAACAATTTAAGCATTCAAAAATTTTGTCCCAAAAGAATGGAAGGTCATTAGGTCAGCAATATTGGTTGATATAAATATATTAATAATTTTTCTGTTGTCAGAAATATATTGATAATTTAAACTATCATATTCCGTCTCATTTATTGGGACAATTTGATCCAATAGTCACATAAATCTCAGTAAAATTAAAATTAAAAATTATTTTTATGAAAACAATATTCCTTAACATCAATTTTTTAAGATTAAGCTCAATCTTTATCTTTGTATCTCTCTAGAAATTCTATGGGATGTGACTCTTATTTCCATTCAAAAAAAGATAATTAATATATATAATATAAAATCTATATCATGTTACATTATTTACAGCTAATAAAATATTTATATAACTTATGAAAAAGGAATTTAATTTAAAAAATAAAATTTAAAAAGTTATAAGGACGTGTTTGGTAAGAGTCCATCCTATAACGAGGGAGCCATGTGCTAATAATAGTAAGGCTACAAAACCTACCAAATGCAATTAGGCATGCACTTTGCAATATCCTACGATCAGGAATGTTAGCTAGCCAGACACATATCTAACGTAGTCATTGTTATATAATATGCTTAAAATATAAAAAATGTTACTCATCCGGTCCTTAATATAGAACCCAATTCTTGATTAGTTTTAATCCTAAATATAAGACCCATTTCTTATATTTATCAATTTTCTCTAAATTACCCCTATGGATGCTCCCTCAACTATAATCAAGTAGAAGAGGGAGATGAGGTATTAAGAAAGATGATTATGGTGTTTTAGGAAAAATGTTTCACTTTTCTTATAATTAACTAACTTACTTAACTTTCTTAATCTAATCAAATTAGTTAAATGGATCTTATATTAAGAATCGGAGGAGTATATTAAATAATTAAAATTTACAATATGCTCTATCAATATTTAATGACTGAATTACTTAGGTACCATTTAAATTTATCAAGACAAATTTTTTTTTTAAATGACACTAACAATGTTAAAATTAGGGACTGAAAGTACATTTAATAACTTTAAGGGATTAAACTGAAATTGAAAAGATGCTTAGAGCACCAAACATATATTTTGGCCTTTCTTAAATGTTGGCAAAAAAAATCTCAAAAAATAACTTAATTATACTACCTCCTATCCTAATTATAAGAGGTAGTTGACTAATTTGAAAAAATTAAAAAAATAAATTAAGTTAGTTATTTGTAATAAATAGGTGTTGTATTTCCTAAAATATCCTTGCTAATCAAATATATTGTTTAGAACTACCATTATTAGAAGGATTATCTTAGGAAAAAATACATAAATATAAAAGACAAAGTGGATTAGGGTCTTATATTTAGGATCAAAATAAAAGTCAAACAAAGTCTTATATTAAAAACCGGAGGTAGTATTAAATAAGCCTTAAAAATGGTTAGTAATTAGAAAATTGTAATTAACCTTCTAATAAAGTCGTGATTTTTCCAAAACAATTGAATTTCTGGTGAAAATGTGAAATCAACCCGTAAAAATAATTTGAAAATTAAAAGTATGAAATAAGGAAATTGTTGGAGAAAAAAAAAAAAAAAAAGAACTATGGAAGGAAATGACCATAATATTAAATTAAAATATCTAAAAGATAAGCAATAAAAGAAAGAAAAAGTCGATGGTGGAGAAGGAGGATGTTTGTGCACCGTAAATTGGTCCAGCGGGGCCCATGGATAAAGATTTGGCTGTCTCTGAAATATATCAGAACTCGATTTTGTTTTTATTCCCAAAATTGCCCAAAGGAAAAGGAAATTTGAGAGAGAACAAGACACATCATAGGACCACCAAAACATGTGAATATTAAAATAGTCTTTCCACATGATTTAATTCATAGATTAGTTTTGGCTGGTCAAAAAAAAATCATAGATTATTTTTGAAGTTAAAATTTTTGCAAAATGACCTATTTATCTTTGACAAAATTAATTATTATCATTTTAATTATTAAGGAAAATTACAATGAGATCCTAATAAAGAAGATAATTATCAGTAATCCTAATAACAAATAAGCAGTTGTCATTTACTCATTGAAACTTATTATTGTATGTTATTCTTTAATTATTAAGGTTTTTTTAGTAACTATGTTTCCTACTTAGAACAATTCTCCCTAATTATTACTACCTCTAGTTCTAATTATAACATTTAGTTGACTAATTTGATAAGATTAAAGAAAAAAGTTAAGTTAGTTATTTGTAATAAATATGTGGTGTCTTTCCTAAAATATTCTTACTAATTAAATGTATTGGTTAGAACTACCATTATTAGAAGGAATATCTTAAAAAAATATATAAATATGAGAGATAAAGTGAATTATGATATTATATTTAGAATTAAAATAAAAATTAAAAAATATCTTATATTAAAAACTGGAAGTAGTATTATTTATTAGACTGTTATTAATATTTAATCCCCCAAAAAAAAGGATTAAAGAAAGGGCCAATATATGAAAAATGTTTAAAATAAACCGGGGCCTTTATTGAGTGATCTAAAAGTTGTGGGCGAGAGCGAGCAGGATAAGAAATGTGGGACCCACTGATCACCCAAAGCACACACAACGCAGCGTAGACGTGTGGCTGTGGAGAGGTGGGAGGGAAAAAGCTGAGAACTTTGGAAAGGGCAATCAGCGGCGTTGAAAGCTTCTGTGTTTGTTTGTTTCTGTGAGGTTCAGAGCCCAAAAGTCAATTAGAGTCACATCCAAACAAAAAAACATATATGCATCACTTTCCATTTTCATATGGTGGATAGTTTTATTCGGATTTCATTGCTCCAAATATATTACATTTCCCCTCCACTTATTTCATTATAATATCAAGATTTTAAGAGTGCAAGATTATTGTAGGCATGCTGGTAAAAAAAAACGATTATTGTAGGCATGCTTTTATGATTCAATTATAAACTTTTAACTTGAAACAACTCAGATTATATAATCATTTGAATTTTAGATATACCTATCTCATTAGGTCAAATCTGAACATTGTTTTTTTTCCCCTCAAAGTATAGATATTCTTTTATTATAAGCAATCCTATTCGAGGCACTGTCGAGTACTAAATGTGGACACCTTTCTCAGCAGGGATTCAAACCTATTGGGCATTATTAAATTTACGGGTGGCTCCGTCAAAGCCTTTTTTTTTTTCCCATTCATATGCACTTGAACTCAAAATCTCGTTTTTATTACACTTAGTGTGAAAATGACTTTTTTTTGACCTCACTTAGAATTTGTCCAAGGAGGTGTTTGATAACCCCTGAAAACACTTAAAAAAAAAATACTTTCATGCAAGTCGAGACAAAACTCTTCTTATATAATACCTCCGGTCCTAATTATAAGACCCAGTTGACTTATTTGAAGAGATTAAGGAAGTAAGTTAAGTTAGTTATTTGTAATAAATAAGTGTTGTCATTCCTAAAATATCCTTGCTAATTAAGTGTATTGGCTAGAACTATCATTATTAGAAGGGCTATCTTAGAAAAAAAATACATAAATATAAGAGACAAAATAGATTGGGGTTTTATAATTAGAACCAAACAAAAAGTCAAACGGGGTCTTATATTAAGGATCAGAGGTAGTATTTATTTCGGATACCATAAATTACTTTTAAAATCTTTAAGTCATAGTTTAGGCTTTGAATTAATAATTGAGAAAAAATTCAACAATTGAAAGTTATATATTTTTTATCGTATATAATTTAGGATGATTTGTATTATTTGTGACTTGTGAGCAGTTTTATTTCCTCCATGCAATAACATACTCCTCTGGTCTTATTTATAAGGTAGAGAGAGAAGACATTTTTTTATCCTATTTATAGGATACTGGGAGAAATTTTTTATATGGATGTATAATTTTATCCTCATTTATTATTGTGTTGACTTTATTTACATAAGGTATAATGTATATTAAAT